TATTTAAAAAATTTAACAGAAAACTCTAGGAAAAAAGTTAGATACTTGAAGAAAATATCCAGCGGAAACAGAACATCTTCATTATTTCAAGAGCATCAAAACGAAAATTAGTGTTTTAAATGCTTTTTTTTTCTTTTAAAGTTTTTATCGAATACTGCAGGTTGTACACAGTATCCACTTAATAAAAACAGACAAAAAAAATTATTTGATTTCATAACAAAAAAACAGTATCATTTTTTGAACGACAAAGCTACTACTTTTTCCCTAACATTCAAGCAAGCGGAACTTTTTTTTGCGTAACAAGCAAGTGTAGTTAATTTGAAAACAATTACTTTTTTCAGTGTGTGTGTGTGTGTACACATATATATATACATATATATTCATAATGCGAATTTATTCATAATGCGAATTTTTTCAACAGAAATTTCATGAAGATAACTATCTGGAAAACGATTTTTCAACACACAGAAGACATGGAATTGTAAAAAAAATTAATAAAAAACGAACTATTTAATTTTACTGACAATATAGACATTCATAATTAAATCTTTACTTAAAAAATAACTTTTTTTACTCGTTTATTTTATGGTAATGATGACTGAAATAAGCGTGTGTAAAAGATACACTTCATGTCACCTGGTGAAGATTGGTAATTGGCCAAGCAAAAGCATAATTACCTTGGAAAATTAATGTTAAAAGTTAATTGAATTATAGTCGGAGAAACAAACATCAACCTCCCCCGTTCAAGTGGTTAGTTTTTAAATTTTTCTCTATGATGACAACAAATAGAACAAGGTATTCGCTCTGTGGTTGGTCACTAAAAACCGCGAATTTTTAGAGACTGACAATTTCGCTGGTGCGAGTTAAAAAAAAGTTACTTTTCCAACGGATCCAGTTTTCTTTTTTTCTGTGTGAACTTGGAACAATGACTGGAATAAAACTTATAATCCTAGCCTGTTCCAACACGATTATCTGAATCATTACATTTTTACAACTGCATTGATGTGCCAAAGTTTGTATCGCCGAAACTTAACCACAAGTTTTGTAACAAAACAAAACAAAATTGACTAAGAAAAACAACTTCATCATAGCGATGCCTTTTTTGCTTTTGACCAACTGGTTGATGAAGAAAACGTGTTAAACTCAGATATTTACGCGGAAAGTAAATTCACACAGTAAGCTACTCTAAATTAAAACTATAAAAAAATAATGTAAAAATCACAAAATCTAAAATATTTTCTAATGCAAACAAAAAGCAACACTATTCAAAAAAACGAAAACGTTGAATGATTGAAAAAAAAAAAAAAAAAAAATGAATTGTTATTCAACAGCCCGTAAAAAAACAGCGATGTTCATTTTTTAATGAATTAATAAGAACAATACAATAATTAAAGTAATTTAAAGACTTTAAAAGAACTTTTATGGTCACTTCCCTTATTCAATACATTTTTAAAGGCAATCAAATACACACGTCTGGACGTATAGTTTTTCTAAGAATACGGTATATACCAAATATACTCATTCAAGAATCAGAAATCTAACACTTCATTCATTACGTGATATAAATTATTTTTCTTTTTAATTCTAACCAGTTTAGTTTCATGATGTCTTGAAAAAATAAAAAAGCTGAAATCTACCAAAACCAAAACTTAAAAATAAATGCTTGTATTTAAATAAAATTTTAATAATTTGAATGTAGAACGTTTTTAAACTTTCAAGTGTTATTAATTACGACTACAAACATTACATGTTTACATGTGGCATTAAGGTTCTAAGAAATTACTAAAAAGGCTGAACTCGTTTTGATTTGATATCAACTTTAAAATCAAAATAAATCAGACTTTAGTTTTTAGTAAAGTCACTTTTTACAATTTCGATGCTTGTATGATCATATCTTACAACTTACATTAATGAATGGCAAATTTATTTCGCAGTTTACGTCTTTTTATGTGAAAAAATATTATCTTTTCTAAAAATGGTAAACAATCGTTCATCATGTATCGATATCACCCCAAGCAGATATTTTTAGCTTGCTTCTTTCATTGACATATTTTTAAAGTTATTTTAGTAAATAATATTTGATAAGTTTTTTGCGTACCTTGCATAAGCGAAGATAGGCTTATTTTTTGTAACAAAAATGGGAGATGGTTGACAAACAATTCAGTGAAAACAAAGCTTGTAATTTTTGCATTTTTTTTATGTCATTGCTCGTTTTTCAATTCAATGCACTTTTTTAAAAGATTTTATAAACTAAATCAAAATAGAAAGCAAAACAATACAGTGATAGAATAAGACTGGGTCAGAGCTAAGAAGTCCTGTATTACAAATACTGTTTCAACAAATACGTATAACACTGCCTTTTTTCCATATAAAAATACCACGATATACCTTTTTTTTCGCCATGTGACAATTTTATCGTAAACCACGTAAGATACGACTAGGAAAAATAACGTCTCATTTTTCGAATAAATTCCCCTTCGAAATTTATTTCAATGAAACGGTGGTTCTAAGCATTTTTTCGTACGACTTAATTTGAGAAAAAGAAAGAAGAAGAAAGGAATAATATCAACAACTTTTACCTCCAATTTTGAGATCAGGTGTGTCGCCTTTTTAGTCAGCAGGATTTAAACGTAACATTCTAAAAATGATGAAATTTAAAGTGCTTGTACTCAAACCCTTGCAGTTTGTTAGCGCTTTTAAAGAAAATAAAAATATTTCAGGGCACAAAAACCCTGGCGAACTTATGAGGAAGACTAAACCTAAAAGAAAAGAGGGTATAGAAGAAACATGGGTGTGAGGGAGTCCCTAAAATATTCTTTCATTGATGATTACAATCGAATCGATCAATCTTTTCTCCGCTTTGCCAGTGATCGATATTTTTCAATGGAAAGAGACTCACTAGTAGGAAGCGAAGGAGATACTCCTGCAACAGAAAAGACAAGCTAAGATACTTCGACAACGTGTGTAAAATAAAATAAATTGTAAATACGCCTATGTGTTACTGTTAACGGTTAACCTAATGATTTATGAATTTTACTCACAATCAGCACTCTATGTCGATTGATTATATATAAACAAACAGAAATCAATAGAGAAAAGAATAGCCTCTGTTCTTATTGGCGGGATATATTCATTTCAAGCTTAAGGGTAATAAATAACACAGATTGAAAAGATTTTCGAATATCTTTTTTTTTTTTTTACATAAAACATAAAATAATCTACGTTCTTCAAAACATCAACATTCAAATAAATTTTCTCGTGTTAAAAGTTTATTCAAATAATAAATCTCATGTATAGTCTTGTCTTGGAAAGACAGGACATTTTTTTTCCCGTTAATACACACTTAAACAAAAAAATACAATTCTAACAATGTTGAAAGAAATAAACAAAAATTAACTGTGTCTGCGTGGCAGTTAAAATTTAAGGTTAAGCCAGTTAAAACTAAGAACTGAGAATTAAACAGAGCTCTCAAAAGTGAAAAAGAATTATCCGAAAATAAATTTTTTTACTCACTACTGATTAATAAAAAAAAGAATCGGTCATTAACCATCTCGAAAGAAAGGCTAACTTATGTTCATTCTCCGTACTTTCTTTAATAATGTAAAAATCTTTCTTCTGAACAAAATTAAAAATAAGGAAACACAGGTAAGACGAACCTAGAATATAAAGTAAGCTGAGAAGAAAATCTAACGAAATTGAGATAGGTATGCTAAACCACGTGTTTTTGAGAGAAGTGTATATTAGCGTACATTGTTTGACAACAGCACAGCACGTGGCTGAAGAAGAGTGAAATGAATTAGTATGGTCGGTGCGTGTGTCATATCGTCGTTATTGTCAACAAAGAGGTGAAGTCATATTAAACAATGAGTTCGTTGCAAATACATACTGGAAGTGAGTTTCGAAGACTCAAAAATATGAAATGAACAATTCGCTTCTTTGTTTTTAATATTCGCCGCCCAAAATTCACTTTTTATGAAGAATTTTAACTTGAACCGGAGCAAAAATCAAGACAGCTGCCGCCATATTTTGTTTTAAGAAGGCGGAGTGAGATGGGTAGGAGGAGAAGGAGGAGGAGTATAAAACCAGTGGAGTAGGAGGAGGCCCACCTGAGGTCGCTTATCACGCAGAAAACTACTGCAAGTGTGTGATGCAGGAATAAACATTAAGAAAATGAATAAAAAAATAAGGAATGGAAAAATTTTAAAAAAGTTTCATAACATTTTTTAATTAATTTTTGCGCTTATACTATAATAAAATAAAATCCAGAAACATTTTTAGTGCTTAAAAATTCCTTCGGTTTGTGTTAAACATCGCGATTGCAAAGATTGTTTGAAGTGAATGATTCACTGAGGCCGCTTGCGATTGTGACAATGTAAACGAGTTAATGTTAACTAATCCAAATTTCCAGAGAAGCAGTCGAAAAGTCAAGTTGTTGGCTTTGAAGAAAAAGTGACTTAGTTTTCCGAGTTTTTAAAGAAAAAGTTGAAAACGTCGGAGGGTAGATTATAACAGAAGAGAAAGAAAAAAAAAAGTAAAACTCCTTAATGTGGAGAGTAAAATTAAATTAAGAATAAATATATTTTATAGAAAAAAATTAAGTAGTTCGAGTAAAATTTATATCAAATGTAGAAAAATGTCTAATTGTCTAAAAGTAGAAAAAAAAAATAAAAATCATCTAAAAAAAAAACTTTTTATTAAACTTTTTCTTGAAAAAAAATTCATTTCTAAACCAAGAAATAATGCATAAAAAAACAGTTGATGAAAAACGAAATTTATTAACACCTCCAATTCATTTTTATTTAATTACGTAATTTTGTATTATTTTTCCCTTTTCTTTTTTTTGTCCTTGTTTCTCAACGAAATTCAGAAGAGGAAAACTAAAAGATAATTGGCGTTTTTCTCAATCGAGTTGAGTTAGTTATAGCCAATGGGGCGGAAGCTATGTTTATCATACGGCCATACATAATAAATAGGTACTTAGCATGGGTTGATACCAAAACATGGAGCGCTTCCATCGTGCCGGCCGGAACGAAGTAACTTGCAACAGCTGGGCAAATTTATTGGCAGCCGAAGACAAAATGGAAATGTTTTACATGGCAAGAGAAGCTGTAGTCAAATATATGGGTTTGTGATTTGCATTTCATTTATTTTATATTCTTTTTCTATATAAATTTATCTATCTATCACTGTTTTGTTCTTATTTCTATCAGTAGATTTTTTTAAAATTTATTTTAAATCTGTTTTCGTAATGTTTTTCTTAATACTATTTTCCAAGTTTTTGGAGTACGTGCGTTTTTTTTTTAATGAAATATTTTTTAAAAGTTTTATTTTTATTTTAACATTTTTAAAAAAAAATTTTATTCTATTATTTTTTTTTTGTAAACATTTTCTTTTAAAAATTAGTCTTCTTTTCTGTTAGATATTCAAACTTTTTCAAAGTTTCAAATACTTTTTAATGTTTTTAATAGTTTGTAGTGTTGTAAAATCAATGTTTTTTATTTGTTTACCTTGTTTTGTAATAATAATCATTATTTCGATCGTATTTTGGAAAAATCGTAACAATTTCTCAACTCAGCATTTTTTCAGTCATATGAATAAAAAAAGGACAATAAAATTGTACACATCTCATTTATTGTGACTTACTTTGTTTACGTTAAATATCTTTTCTTCCCTCGCAAAGCGAGCTTTGTTTAATATAATTGTAAAAGAATATTCTCTCTTGTGATCACAGAATATTATATCAATTAAATATTTATAAAAAGTAAAAATAAAGAAATTATCTCTGTAAAACTCGCACTTTAAACTTTTTGCACAAAACTTTTAGGCTCAAAAACAAGTGTCCTTTTTTTTTTTTCTTTTTTTTTTTTACGCAATTGTTGCGAAATTTCTTTGTCGAAATTAACCCTATTCGCACCTTGGAATTTTCATATTTTTACTTATGAAAATCGGAAAATTTCACATCAAATTGACCGTTATCGCGTAAAGTGTAATTGATATGTTCATCGATTTTGAAGAAAGGACTTTAATTCATTTCACATAAACAAAAAAAAAAAAGAGAAAAAAGTATTAAATTTCAATATCATAATGCTTTTTCAAGACGTTCGAAATAAATTGGGAAAAAAAGTGAGGAAACCAACTAACTCACCATCTGATTGTCATTTTAACTAACAAAAACTAACTTTGATAATTCAGTCAAACAAAAAAAGTAGAACGATTTGAAAATAATAAACTTGATTCAGTTTAATTATGATAGCTTTTGGTTTTTGAATCAATAAATTTCATTTTTTGGATTTTTTTTATTCATTAAAAAAACTTTTTAAAGTTATATGGAATCTTTTAAAACTGAATAGTATCTTTCCAGGGCAGTTTTTTCAAAGTTAAATAGAGAATAAAAGATATATTATTTTTAATTATTTGTCATTTTGTAAGATGAGAAATTTATCAATTTTTCAAGGTTTTATTGACATTATCAACAAAAAATTGTTGATTTTCTGTACAACTCATTGAGATGGTGGTATAAAAAGCCAATTGAAATTTAAAATTAAATCTATGTATAAACTGTTTTTAGATATAAAATAATTTTTACAACGTTCCAGTACATTGCAGCACCGTGTAAAATTATTATTTTGGTGATTTTTTTTTTTTAAAGTCGTCAAGCCCTGGTCCAGTTGTTTACTAAAAGTTTAACTTACTTTTTGTCACTAAGACCGTAAGTGTGGAGCACACAGTGTGGCTCGAACTCACTACTTATGATCTACAAGTACAATCTTGATGACCATTACAGCAAAATACTGTCAGTGTACAGCATCCCTACTAAAACTAAATTTGGAGAATCCAGGTATTGATCCCAGTAGACAAAGTGAACATTCTTCCAATTTTAAGCTTTATTGCTTGTGTTGAGATCATCATGTCATTTTCACGGAACGATTGTAAAGTTTTCATTAAAAAAATATTAAGATTGTGAAAAACTATTGGTTGAGTGTTGTTTATAACTTGTTTTCTATAAACAATTTCTATCGGACTTCAAATGACTGGCCAAGTTGAAAATTTGAAAATTGATGCTTTCATTTTTTTTATTCCTCTATGCTATACGACTTTTAAAGTTTAAAACTTTAAAAACAGAAAGTTTTTTTTGTTTCTCTAGTTTCACAAAATTTCAGAACTATTTTATAAAATGAACAATAATATATTTATAATTTTACACTTGAATGAAATCATGTTTCGTTTACTGTTTGTATTCATCGCGACTTTTAAAAATGGTCATGTGCAAAAATCTCAAAAGAAAGAATAAATTTGGCACAAGCATGAAAATAATAAAAATTTGTATCGTGAACGGAAACCAGTTTTCGTTCAATGATTGAGATAATCTGTATTATTTTCATGCTTGAGCCAAATTTACCTTCTTTTTAAATATAAACAATAACACAAAGAAAAAAAAAAGCAGGCACCAAATTTCAAGTTTAAAAACTCTTGTTTCAAATCCAAAATTCATCTTTTTCAACAATTTCAAAAGATTAATAATCATGATTATTATTACAATATTGACAGTTTTTAGTTGCATGATGAAAATTATCATTTTTTTCATGTTTTAGTTTTTGTATATTTTTTGTTTTTGTTTATTCATTACCTGGCCATATCGCTCAGGTAAATGTCCCAAACTTTTCTTGTGAGAAATTAAATAAATAATCCAAAACTTTTTTTAAAAATAATAATAATGATCACTGCTGCTGTATTTCTTAAGGACTATTAAACTTTATTCAAAGAAAGTTTTTTTTTTTTATTTTTTATTTTTTTATTTTAAAATGTTAATCTTTAACAATGCCCAAACTTTGAGTTTAAATAACATTTATTTTTTTTCATTAATAACATCGGTCGAAAATAGATACCCTGAAATTTTATAATTTGGACTTTACACTCAAGAAATGTTTTCGGACTCCCCCCCCCCCCACACAAACTTATGATTAGTAATTTATTTTCAATTTTGAAAAGAAGCTGTTCAAATGGAGTTTTTTTTTTTTTTTTTTTTTAAAAAAGAAAAGGGGTTTTCGGTACTAAAGAATTACTCGGTTCTAGGTTAGTTTAAAAATAAGGAACAAGGCCTTATGGGCAACCAATGAAGATCAAACAAAAAATTCATTATGTTTGAAAAAAAATTCATAGTTTAGAATACAAACTATACTGTAGTATACGACATATTTGAAACGAACACATTTTCAATTTAATTAATGCAGCTATTTTTTGTTATGTAACACTTTTTGTTGGGTTTTAGTTTTTTTTACCATGTACACTAAAAATTGGTGTTCGAGATCCGGCGAAAGTCATGATCTCGAAAAACACTAATTTTGATTGAATATAGCAGACCCACGTTCCTTATTTGGAAGGTTGGCGTAACACAATCTTTCAGACCGCTTCCCATATTCTTTCATTCATTTGCCTTGTGTTGGAAAGAAATGTTTAGTAAATTACTGCACGAATGACTAGTTTCCGTTTTGAAATTGCAATAAAAAGTTGCACAAATTAACGCACTTGCCCAGACTTGGTTAGCCGTTGGAACGGCGGTTGACAGATTTGATTGAGCTTTCGTTTCATTCTATTGAGCTAGAGATGTTCATCGAAATACAATCAACTTTGAAAAAGTTTACTTTTCAAAGGTACTCCGAACGGAAATCAAATTATTTATAAAAGACACAAAATACATTATTAATGATGTACACGCACATAACTTATTTTGGGTGTCTATGATTGCAGAAATTATTTCTTGTGCCTTTTTAAAACATATTTTTAATCTTCTTAATCTTAATAATAATAATGATGATGATGATGTCATTCAATCCCTAGCGACAACTTAACCAGTGAAACATCAGACATCTGGTGTGCCTACGTGTGAATATGCAAAATAAATAATGAGAAAAGAATGCTGAAAAATCGAGGTTTGTTGTCACTTGATCTCGCGTCACTGATTTAGAACCAGAAGATATATTATGAAAACTCAATGAGATACAACAATAGAAAAGATCCAACTAAGTGTTCATGAAATGAAACAATTTTTGACGCTCATGAATTTTATGAAAAAATAAGTATTTACCCCATAATTTAAATAACCAGTTTTTAATAAAAAATTAGGTAATTATTAAATTAATAAATTTAAAACTATCTTAAAAAATAAAAATGAAATCATTTCAGACACAAAATCATGTAAACAATATTACTTTTTACATGAAAATAATAATTTTACCTAAAAATCTAAGTTCACTTTAAATTTAGTTTTCGAAAGAAAAAGTGAAATTACTTTTTAGTTTTTAATTATTAAAAAAAAACAAGTGTTTTGTTTGTTTGTGTGTGCGTCGTTGTTCTTAGTCTTCTTAAACATTGTCAGTCTCTTTCTTTCGTTCATTCATTAAACTTATAAATAAAATAATAGAATTATACTTTATTTAACATCTAATTACTTTTAACAAGCATAAAGAAAAAACACAAATGTATTTCACATAAAAAGGAGATACGCACTATGCTGCTTTTCAAATTCATTCAAGAAAATTTATTTAATAATAGAATTTCTGCTTTTACAGGCCAATATGACATACAGTACACAAACACTTATGATGTGAATTATTACAATTACAATACATTGTACTAAGTATTACTTTTCACCTTCGGTATTTTTTTATATAGTTTTTGCACACTGATAAATAAGTCATCAGACAACAACATAAACATTTTACATCCCAAACTCATTTGCTCATTCTTAGGTTTCCGTTTATTTATATTTTATCTCATGCGTGTCGTATCTAAAAAAAAAAAAAAAAGACAATTACAAAACAAGTTTATACAGAACACATAATTTTATTTTTATTTAAATAAACAGAAATAATAAACACTTTGTATTTTTATGATTAACTTATTTTGAGCTGAAGGTTCTTAAACAAACAAACAAAAAACAATATAAAATTTTGCGACTGGGAAATTTTGTAAATTTATGAGCCAAGTTGAATATTTAAATCACACTGTCTCTCATCTGAACTTTAAAAACAATTTACTTTTACTACTGTTTAGTGTAAGGAAACTGTAAAAATGTTGTCATGGGTCTTCTTATTTATTTATGCAAACAATACTTTTAAAAAAAT